AAACATAGCTTAATCCCAAAGAATGAGCGGATCAGGGGCAGCTAGGTGGCGCAGTGGATAGAGCACCGGCCCTGAAGTCAGGAGTGCCAGAGTGCAAATCCGGCCTCAGACCAAACCCTTGACGCTTACTAGCTGTGTGGCCCTGGGCAAGTCACTTAACCCCAATTGCCTAAAAAACACACACACACACACAAAAACAATGAAACAAAGAATGAGTGGATAAAAAAACAAATTAGTGAAATAATAATTTCATTAAAGATAATGACCATAATGAGACAATTTATCAAATTTTTTGAGAAAACGTATGTTTCTAAACACTTTCACCAATAAAAGAACAGATTAATGAACTGGGCATACAAGAAAAAAAAACCCTAGAAAAATCAACAAATTAAAAAACCCTAATCAAACAACAAATTGAAATCCTAAAAATCAAAAAAGAGATTAATAAAACAGCAAAAAAACAACAGCAACAACAATGAATTAATAAAACTAGGAGCTGGGATTTTTTAGGGAAAAACAATAAACCATTAATGAACATGAATTTTTTTAAAAAGCAGAAAACCTAATGACTAACATAAAAATAAAAAAGGTGAATTCCTAACCAATGAAAAAGAAAAAAAAATTATTGGGAACTATTTTGTTCAAGTATATGCCAATTAAACAGACAATCTAAATGAAATGGATGAATATTTACAAAAATATAAAATGCCCAGGTTGAAGAAACAAGAAATAGAGAATCTGAATAACTAAATCTCAGAGAAAGAAATTGAACAAGTCATAAATGAACTCCCAATGGAAAAAAGATTCAGGGTCAGGTGTGTTTATAAGTAACCACACATTTAAAAAATAATTCCAAACATCACATAAACTACTGGAAAGAAATAGGAAAAGAAAGGCTCCTACTTCTATGACACAAATAGAGCAGGGCTTGATACCTAAACCACAGTGAATGAAAACAGAGAAAAAAACTACAGGCCACTATGCCTAATGATATTGATACAAAAATGTTAAATAAAGTATTAGGAAGGACACTACGATGACATGTCACAAAAATTACACTCCATGACCAGGCTGGAGCTATAGCTCCAGGAATGCAAGGGTGGCTCGGTGCTAGAAAAACTATCATCATAAATGAGTAAATTAATTAGAACAACAAAAATCATGTAATTATATCAATAGATGCAAAAAAAAACCTTTGACATGATATAATCATTCCTGTTTAAAAAAAAATACTAGAAAGCATAGGAATAAATCAATTTTTTTCCATAATATGATAAACAGCATTTATCTAAAACCAAATATGGGGATAAACTAGATGCCTTTCTAGTAAAATCAGGGTAAAGCAAGGATGTCCATTATCATAGCTACTATTCAATATTACGCTAGGATTGCTAGCTATAACAAGAAGAGAAAAAGAAACGGAAGGAATAAGTATAGGCAAACAGGAAACAAAATTATTGCTTTTTGCAGATGGCATAAAAGTTTACTTAGAGAACTTCAGAGAATCAACTAAAAAACTAATGAAATAACGAACAATTCCAGCAAAATTGAAAAACACAAAATAAACCCATACAAATCATTAGCATTTTTGTATATTATCAACAAAATCCAGCAGGAAGAGACAGGAAGAGAAATTCCATTTAAAATGGCTACAGAAAGTATAAACTATTGGAGAGTCTACTTGCAAGACACACACAGGAATTATATGAATACAATTACAAAACACTCTTTACACAAAGAAAGATCTAAGTAACTGCAGAAATATTAATTACTCATGGGTGGGGCAAGCCAATACGATAAATGTGACGATAGTACCTAAATTAATTTACTTATTCAGTGTCATGCCAATCAGGCAAACTCCCAAGGATTACTCCATAGAGCTAGGAAAAGATAATAACAAAATTCATCTGGAGGAACAAAAGGTCAAGAATCCCAAGGGAATGAACGAAAAGAAAAGTGGGAAGGAAGAGGGCCTAGCAGGGCCAGATCCCGAAACACGCTACAAAGCCAGCAATCGTCAAAAACAACTTGGTTAAGAAATAGAAAGGCAGGTCAGGGAAACTATTCAAGCCCACAACATATAGAGGCAAACAAGCACCACAGCCTGGTGAAACCCAAAGAGCCCAGATAATGGGGCAAGAACTCACTATTCAACAAAGCTGCTGGGAAAACTGGAAAGCAGCCTGACAGAAATGAGGCACAGACCAACCCCTCCTACCATATAAGCTCCAATGAACGCATGCCTTGGACAAAATGGGCTCCACGGTGCGGGAAAGAGAGAAGAGGCAAAATGGTGGAAAATCACAGATTGATTACATAAAATTAAAAAGCTTTCGCCCAAACAAAACTAATACAGCTAAAACCGAAGAAAAACAGGAAACTGAGGGAAAATTTTTCAGCAAGCTTCTCTGATAAAAGTCTCATTGCTAAGTTTCATGTAGGAAAGGGATTAACATTTCTAAGAATAAGAGCTATTCCCAGATTGATAAATGATGAAACAATAGGAACAAGCAGTTTTAAGGGGAAGAAATTCAAGCTACTATATAAAAAAAAAGTGCTCCAAATCACTGATGACTAGAGAAAGATAAATTAAAACCACTCTGCGGTTCTACCTTATGCCCACTAGACCCGTAAATTAGATTTTTTTAAAAAGGTAAAAATGGAAGGGCATGTGGAGGGGGTGGGGAAGGTACTCCAAGGCCTTATTGGTAGAGCTGTGAACGGGTCCGGACATTTCAGAAAGCTATTAAACTGTACATACCCGGGGCAGCTAGGTGGCACAGTGGATAGAGCAGCGGCCCTGAAGTCAGGAAGACCTGAGTTCAAATGTGGCCTCAGACCAAACACTTGACACTTACTAGCTGTGTGACCCCGGGCAAGTCACTTATCCCCAACTGCCTAAAAAAAAAAAGTCAAAATTAAAAAATTAAAAGTTAAGCTGTACATACCCAGCAATAGTAGGACCCGCATGTACAATGTGGTGGCAGAGAACTAGAATCTGAACCAGGTGCCCATCAACCGGGGAATGGCTGAACAAGTTCTGGGATATAAATATCGTGGATGACTACGGTGCTGAAAGAAATGACGAGGGGGATGATTTCAAAGAAACTTGGGAAGACTTGCAAGAACGGATGCAGAGTGAGCGGAGCAGAACCAGACCGACAGTTCACACAGTGATGGCAATATTGTGCCAAGTAACTCTAAAGGCCGAGGCCCCGCACAGACAAAGCACGACAGAGAGGGGGCGCTCTCTCTTTGTGCCCAGCCTGGTGGGAGTTCCTTCTGTTTGGTTATGTTTATAACAAGGGTTTTGTTTTTCTTGCTTTCTCAGTTGGGAGGAAGAGATAAGAGGGAGAGAAGGAAGAGTTTTCCTTTCGGGGAAAAAAAAGCCAGAGCCAAAAGCATGAAGCCTCACTGCTCTACAACAAGGTCCACAGATGTGGTGAACCGAGGCAGTATGGTACAGTGCACAGAGCCCTGGATTTGAAGCCAAGAAGTCCTGAGTTCAAATTCTGCCTCAGATACTGCCTAGCTGTGTGATCCTGGGCAAGTTACTTCACCTGTCTGCCTCAGTTTCCTCAATGATAAAATGAAGCGGGGGACTTCATGGCCTCTCAGGTCCCTTTTAGATCTAGATCTATGATCTTACAAGTCTACAAGCCAAGACTCACGCACATACACACATCACAGGGGCAGGCACAAATATGAGGAGAAGGAGAGACACACACGTGGCCAGTCATGTAAACGTCTGGATGGATAGTAAGTAAGCTGTCTCATTCTAAGAGGCCCAGCCCATCTTCATCCCTGAGGAGAAGCAAATGTCTAGAGGAGAACCGAGAACACTGTTGGGAGGCTCCCAAAGAGCCCGTGGGGGCCCACTCCATCTGCTTCGGGGGGCAGGCCTTCAGACAGGCCGTGGCACACGCAGCAGGCACCCCTGACTCTTAATATCTTGTCTAAAGTCATGAAACGTCCTTCCTGCCAGTGAACTCTTCCCCCCATGGCCATGTGCCAGGCAGCCACGGTGCCCAAAGGTGCTGCCAGCCGAGCACAAGCCATGGCACGTCTTACTGGGCTGGAGGGCTTCATGTACAGTTCACTGATAAGCTCTGTGTGTGTATGTGTGTGTGTGTGTGTGTGTGTGTGTGTGTGAAAGAGTGTGTGTGTGACAGTGTTTGAATCTAAGAGAGAGAATGTGTGTGTAAGAGATAATGTGTGAAAGAGTGTATATGTGTGTGTGTGTGTGTGTGTGTGTGTGTGAGAAAGACAGAGAGACAGACACTGGGGAGACAGAGAGAGAGAGAGAGAGAGAGAGAGAGAGAGAGAGAGAGAGAGAGAGAGAAAGAGAGAAGAGGAAGAGAAGGGAAGAGAGGGCAGGAGTTGAGGACCAGCCTGTCAATCACTCAATCAGCGCCTCAAGGTTTACGCTCCCAGTGCCTAGCACAGTGCCCAGCATGGAGTCCATCCCTAATAAACGCTAGCTGACTGACTGATTAATCACGTACTGGTTGCAGGCAGGACAGAAGTGAAAGTGAGCCTGCCTTCCACATGGCTGAGTACCGAGAGGCTCATCCTCAAGGTGGCCACTCTTGAACCTTGTCCACTGAAACACAACAGAGGCTGCAGCTGGTATTGGTGGGGAATCCCAAGGCCCACAGGGCCTGGGCATGGAGGCCAAGCCTCTTGCCTTACCACAAGAGGCAAAGGGGCCGGCCCAGGCACACGGTGACTAGCAGAGCAGGGCTACTTGAACCCTGGCCTCTTGGAGAAAGCACCAGGAGCACCAAAACGGCAGCCCCTGGACAGTAAGAGGGCGCTCACACGCTGCTGGAGCTTCTCCGGGCTCTCTGCCAATGCTGGGGCTGGCGGGCTGCCTCCCTCCACCCCAGAGGGGCACACGAGGAAATGAGGGCAACCGAGAGGACCGCAGGCAGGGGGCGGGCGAGGCAGTCCGACATCCGGCGAGGGGACAGGAGGCGGCCCGGCAGCTGCGTACTCACCGCCAAGATGCCGATGGTCACTTTGAGGCCGGCCCAGAGGACGCCCACGATGAGGATGAGACTGTGCTGCAGCGAGGCGTACAGGCCCGACGTCAGGATCAGGACACACAGGCAGAGCTGCAAAGGGAGAGAGCAGGAGGCTCAGGGCAGGGCCTGTTTGTTTTGCTATTTGCGCCGGAAGGAAAAATCTACGTAAAGCCCCGGCGCTTGTCAGTGACCACTAGCCTAAAGACATCTTCCTCTGGCCTTGTGAACATGGTCCTGGGGGCTCCAGGGCCCCTCTCCTATCTGGCTTTGGCCCTCCCAAGCCAGGACCTCCTGACATTTGTTTGTTCATTCTCCTTGTTACTAATTACATTCATGATAAAAGGTTGCCTAGTGGGGTGCACCTGAGCACATGCCTTAAGTGGCGAGGGGATCTGTCCCAGGGGAAAGCAGCCCACGCTTGGCGGCCGGCTACTGAAGCTTGCCGGGCCCTTCGGGTTCCCTCCGAGGCCCCGGAGCAACAATGAGGTGACCACGCAGGTTCTTTCATCTCAGACATCAACTGTCAGGAGTCAGAAACGAGGTGGTCCCATCTATGGGCCAGCAAGGGAGCTCTGGGGATGGGTCAGTATCTGTATTAACCAATACTAAACACATCCCCTCCGGGGGGAAGGGAAGGGAAGAGTGCACTTGTTAGAGGAAGGGTCTGATAACACCAGCGGCCCATGAGAGAGCAAGTGGCAGCCTGATGGGTGAGAGAAGGCCTGATCCCCCTTTCCTGAATGGTCCTAGAAAGCAAGCAATGGGAAATCCAAAATGTTCTCTGTTTGGAGCACAACCCAGTGGGAATATGGTGCCATATCCCTCAGTACAAGGGAGCCTTGTTCTTTTACTGATGGTTGAGGTAAAGAGGTGGCTGAAGAAGGCATGTCCTACAGTCTTACACCAACTCTCCCAAAAAGGAAAGAAGGAAAGGAAGGGAGGGAAGGAAGGGGGAGGGGAGGGGGGAGGGGAGAGGAGGGGAGAGGAGGGGAGGGAGGGGAGGGGAGGGAGGGGAGGGGAGGGGAGGGGAGGGGAGGGGAGGGGAGGGGAGGGGAGGGGAGGGGAGGGGAGGGGAGGGAGGAAGAAGCCTGCCAGGGAGAAGCTGTGATCTTGCACCTCATTTTAATGGGGCATCCAAACGATGCCAGACAAGATGGGGCCAAGGCCCTGGTCCAAGTCTTGCAAAGTCCGGTTGTCACTCACTGCTGGTTCACTCAGAAGATTCAGAGGAGTCAGTGTGGTGAGGTAGCCTGGCGGGGGCCCTTCCCCAGATGTCTCAGCTCCAGAGCACCAAGGCGCAGCGCCCCGATGGCTCGTGTCTCTACCATGGGGCTGACTTCCTCTGGAAAGGGGGAGCTGACGGAGCTGTGGATTCCAGTTTTCACTCTGACGGGTTCTGACCACTACTGCTAGGTGCTCCAGAAGCTTGCACTTCAGCCCCTCACTGACCCTAGGACAAAACAGGACCTCCCCTGACGGGCCTCTAGAGTCCTTCCCAATCTGGCTCCCACCTTGGCCCGTGCCTGGCATACGCTGAGCTGAGAATAAAGGCTCTGGCAGGCTGGCTGCTGTCTCTTCTCAGCCCCTCTCATCACTCTGGATTCCAGGTAGACTGGTGTGTGTGGGTCCCTCTGCCCAGCCTGGCTTGCCCTGGCCTGTTCTCCCTCCCATCCCCAGTCCTTCGCTTCCTCCACAGGCTGGCTGGATGCCTTGCCCCCCCATGGCCTTTCCTGGTGACCCCGTGGACTGCTTCTTTCCTGATGGTGCTTCTGTGCCCACTCTGCACTCAGGCTGGGTCCCCCAACAGAATGCCAGCCCTCAGGATCAGGACTGGTTCATTCCTGCCTTTCTATGTCAGTGCCTGACACAAAATAAGTGATCAACAGATGTTTGCAGAAGGAATCCACGACCAAGGCAGCAAGACTGAACTGGGAGAGCAGGCCGGGCTCTGATGCCACGTGGCAGCCCTCTGCTGGGAGGCCTGGCCAGGGCCAAGAGCAGAACCACAACTGCCAACCAAGGGTGGCCGCAAAGACTGCGGGGAGGCCAAGGGCAAACGCGCCCGAGGGCACTCGCGCCAGGCAAAGACCAGTCCACAGCTCCCCAATGGCTCCACACGCAGCCGAGAGGATGAACAGAGCGGCAAGAACCCGAGGGGTCCCAGGGATTCCAGGAATGGTGAGTTCACCTTGGCTCCCATCTGGTCCACAGGCTGGGCCACAGGCCAAGAACTCTTCTGAGGAGAAGAGGAGCCGACGAAGGCCGGGCCCAAATCCCGAAAAGCCAAGGAGACCCCAGAGGGCCAGGCTTGTGGGCTTGGCCGAGCTCAGGACATCATGGCGACTCCCGAGGAAAGGCTGGGGATGCTCCGGGTCATGCTGACCCCGGCCAGAGGCAGCCCGCTGGGGCAGACAGTAAAACCTGGCTTCAGATCCACCTCGGACACTGCCTAGCTGCATGACCCTGAACAAGCCTCTTCACGCCCATAAGACCTCAGTTTCCTCATCTATAAAATGGAGATAACAGTTTACTTCACAAGGCTGAGCTAATACGTGAAAAGTGCTCTGCAAACCTTAATGTGACACAGCTGTGTCAGCTGGCATTAGGATGTCCAGCTGGATGGCAGATGCCAAGGGGACCACTCCATGCGATGGACTGCAGCCATTGCAGGAAATGACCCGACCTCGACTACAGGGGGACTATAGCCTAGTCCTTGAGAAGAAGGGCTCAGGAGGACCTCCAGAACCCCCCCGTCCCGGGGTGGCCTCCCATGAGGACTTCTGGGTACCTCGGGTGACCAGAGTCTGGGCAGGGAGCTGGCAACGAGGACGCCAGCAGGGCGCCACGAGTTCTTGGAGCGGGTTAAAGGTGTCACAGGTCGGGGTGTCCCACCCACTTGGGTCTGGCTGTTTGTTTAAACTGGCCAAGCAGCGCCACACCTGCCTGCCCCTGAAGTGACCTCCCCCCCGCACCAGAGGCTTTCTTCCTTCTCCCTCACCCCATACACAAGTCCAGGAGGCACCTTAAAAAGACTTAAGCAAGGGCAGCTGGGTGGCACAGTGGACAGAGCGCTGCGCCCAGGGTTAGGAGGACCTGAGTTCGTATCCCGCCTAACAGCAGACACTTGACACTTACTAGCTATGTGACCCTGGGCAAGTGACTTAACCTCAACTGCTTTACCAAAAAAAGAACATGGGTGGGGGCGCTTTAGGGGCACAGCCAGAGAACAGATAATGGAACACACCTTCCCGCTCCTGGAAGAAGGGTGGGAGGCTCCCATCTGCCAGTGCAGGTGGGCACCTGTCTGGGACATGTCAGAGGTGTCTCGAGCCCGGCTCCTGCTGACTCCAAATGGCAGAGGCACTCAGCAGCCTGGCCTGCAGAAGCCAGGAGACAAAGGATTCCTGGGACCTGAAACCTAATCCCCAGAAACCTCTGGGGCACCAGAATATATGCTGGTACTCCTCTGAACTTTTCCAATGGCTCTCTTCAATAAACCAGGGCCGTATGGCTCTTTGTGCATAGGTGGGAATGTTACTTCTGGGGAGGCAGGGCCTTTCCCCTGGAGCACATCAAGGCCCCCAATGGGCTCCCGCCCCGCCCCCAGGTGACCATCAACGAGCCTGTCAGTCTGGCCAGGCCCTGGCCCCTTGGCTCCTTTTTAGGAATGGGTCAGACAAAATCCCATTTGGGCACAAAGGTGCAGACACATAAGGGTGTGGGGCCTTCTCTGGGTGGGCTTTCTGGGCCTTTTATACCTGAGCTTGGAGATCAAAGGTCAGCATGGAGAAGCAGAGATTGAGCATGAAGTACTGAGCCTGCAGGCTCTCCAGGGCCCCGCCCACTCGGAAGGCCATCATGCCCTGGCCTCGGATGAGGAGCACGGCACAGATCACATCGAAAAAGCCCACCAGCAGGATCACGACGAACCGGGCCTGGCCAGGGAGAGAAAAAGGAGCCCCGCTGTCCCCACCTTTCCAGGCTTTACGGTCCTCCCCATGCCAGCCAAACTTGGCACCACGCCATCCCACCGCCATGCCTGTGACTAGGAATTCGTGCTCTTGGGCCAATCTGGATGAGTGCCTGCTAGGGGAGTTGCAAAGTTAGCAGGGCCAGGTGAACAACCATGCGAGTGATGGACAGCTCCTAACTAATGGGATGCCTGAGGCCCAGCCTCCCACAGTGGCCAGACACAGGCCTTCTCTCACTGGACAGGCACAGGTCTGAGGGAAGGGGAAAGACAGGTCCTGAGGGAAGGGAAGAATAAAAGGCACAGAGTGGGCCAGCGGGGGATCATGAGAGGAGGGGCTGCCGCCCCTGTCCTGGCCCCCACGACTCCTCGCCTCCCCCTCCCCTTTAGAATCCTTCAAGGCTCAGCCTGGGCACTGCCTCCCATACAAAGCCCTGCCTGGTTCCCCCTGCTGTGAGTTCTGAGGGACTTTCCACACCAGGAAGAAGTTGCCTTTCCTTCCTCAAATTCCCTCATGTTTATTTTTCCGTTGCCATGCCATTCCCTCACATTTACTTTTCTGCGGGTCTGCGCCCTTTGGGAGCGGGTCCCGACCCTCCTGCTCAGTGGTCTCTCTTTAGAGTGGGAGCTCCTTGGGGGCAGGGCCGCCTCTGCTTTGCTTCTTGGGTCCCTGCACTTAGGAGGGTGATTTTCCTTCACTCCTCAGCCAGGCGCCAGCCCGTACCTGTCTCTTGATAAAATGCTTGCTCACTGTTGGGTACAGCCTGGGTTTGGCAGACTGGAAGGGAGGATGACACCAAGAAGGGGGTGGGACCTTGGTGGAAGAAGCGGAGGGCGCAAGGCGGGTGGGCTGGACAGGGCAGGCCGGGGGGGGAGGTAGCCTCGTGGGCCTGGCCCTGAAGGTAAGGAAGGGGAGTCCCAGGAAGAGTGAGGGCTCTTTCTGCCCAGCCTCCCAGGCACCGAGCCAGGAGGAAGTGGTGATGCCCGGACCTTGTTCTTTCCACGGGAGGGAAAGAAACCACAGAAGAGCTTGTCAAAGCTTAGTCAGATGGGGTAAAGCCCTAGTGCCAACGGGGGCCACTCAGGGTGACGTGATGGGCAGGGCACAAGGGGCAGCCATGGGACAGCCTCGTCCGGGGAAGCCTGAGGGGCCTGGGGAGGAGCCCTGGGCGGAGCGGGCCACGGACCCTGGGGTCTCAGAGCTCGGACTCCCCTCACTAGTGGAGACGTTGTGACTGCATCTCAGGGTCAGAAAAACTTCTGAGGCTTAACTCAGTCAGTGCCTGCTGTGCCAAGCACAGCGTGTGGGGGGGGAGGGGGGGCTGGGAATACAAAGAGAAAATAGGTCCTGCCCTCGAGGGGCTGACATTCCATTTCACATACAGTGAGTGTCCACTTAGGTTTCCAGATCTTGGGCTGGAAGGACCCTCAAAGGGCACGCAGTCCAACCTCCTCATGTTACACACAAGGAAACTGAGTCTGAGAGGGGAGATGTTGGCCTTTCGGTGGCGCTCTTTCCCCTGGACCTTCCTGTTCTCGGGGAAGATGTAGGGAGCTGGGACCTAGCCTCCTCCTCCTATGTGGGGCTGCTGGGGAGGAAGTCTCAAGGGGGGAGAAGGGGTGAGATCCCCGCCCTCAGAGGTCTTCAAGGCAAGGCTGGTGGAGTAGGGACTGCTCTGTGTATGGGCTGGACTGAATGGCCGCCAAGGCCAACCCACCCATCTCTCACGTTTTGTGGTTCTGGGCTCACATGCAAGGTGTCAGCCTGGCTGGTTATTCTAGACATCCAAAATCTTAAAAGACGTTGGAAGAAATCTGAGAACGTCATCTCAAGATCTCGTCCATTCCTCAGTCTGCATATGGTCATTCACGTTAGCCGCACCTCGGACTAGGGCGTGGAGATCGGCAGGCTGGACCCTGCCCAGAGTCCAGCACTCTGCCCTGTACTCTGGTGGCTGCTTGGGCGCTGTGTGCTCACTGAAATGAGTGTTCACAGAGGACCCTCCCACCAGGGCTCCTTTCCTGAGAGGCATGCCCCTGCCAAGGGTTTCACAGGAGAGAGGAGGCGGCGCTACCAGTGTGGACTTCAGCGTCACCCTCCAGGACAACGTGAGCCCCTTGAGGGCAGGAAGGTGCCAGCAGCCACACTCTTTGGTCCCCTCTACTCTGGCTGCTGAGAGCTACCCAAGGAGAGCCCTGAGCCGACCTGGGCCAGCGTGGGCTTAGAGGGGGATATTCTCGGTCTGTTCTCTCTCTGAGGGGCACCTGCTGAGGTCAGCCTGAGACGAGGTCAGTGTGAGGGCTGCAGGTCATCCTGGGGCACAGGCTGGTGTCACAGGGAAGAGGCTTCCTGTCCCTGGCTTTTGAGAGGACAGCGTGGCTGAGCCCCCCCCCCGCCCAGTCAATGCCTAAGGGCCTCCTCTGTGCCAGGTGCTGGGATACAAAGCCACAAGTAAAGCCCCTGCCCTCACAGAGCTTACATTCCATGAAGGATGGAGGATGAATACAAAGTGACCTGGGAAGGCCCAAGCTGGGGGTGCTGTGGGGGCGGATCAGGAAAAGCGCTGAGGAGCAGGGGTACCACACTCCGTGAGGGCACTCCCCTCCCTGTCTCTGTGGCGTCCCACACCCTGGCTTGCCCATCTCCTTCCCAGGGTTAGCACACTCCACTGGAGTCCCTCCTGCCTGTAGGGGCTGGCCCATCCTCACACTCTGTGCTGCAGGGCTCAGGTCTACAGAAGGGGATTGATGCAAGGCAGAAGGGAGCACACATACTCACCAGGATGACAGGGTCTTCCCTTGCAGGCTTATCCTCCGCTGCCAGCACAAGGAAGTTCACTAGGGATCGGAACATCACCAGCAGGATGGAGAGGATAAACACAATGAGCTCCTGACGGTTCTCCTGGAGGATTCCTCGGGTCACATAATAAATGCAGAACACTGACCAAGACAAATGAAGAGAGAGACGTGGTCCAGCCACCGCAGGACACCAGCCCCCAGAGTCCTTCTGAAGTGGTCTAGAGGTTTGGCGTGCTGCTGGGAACCCCCAAGATTGCAACGCTGGTCCCTGCCTCAATGAATTCAACTCAGATCTTCCAGCCAGATAAAAGATTTATTAATGATAAATCATATAGGCCAGGTGACTCCCAGAAGGAAAAGCCTGGTAGAGAAAAAAGCTCAGCCTGTGGGGCATGAGAGATTCTCAGCATTTGAACGGGGGTCAGGGTGGATCTTATATATGCTAAAGTAACTTTGGGTGGCCAGGGAAGGGGGCTGGGAAAAGAGTCTAGGTGAGAATTCCCATTGGAATGTCTGAGAAATTGAATAGACAATGGGAATAGATGATGAAGGGAACTGGAAGGTAGAAGTTTGAAAGGTATCTGTATAAGATCAAAAGGTGGGGCTGGGGCTTTCAAAGGGAGATAAGGGGAGTTGACAAGGAACCTAAAAGTTTAAGGGTTTTCTGGGACCCCTAGATAAACTAGTTCAAGGGGTGATGGCATGAATCTGAATAAGATCAAAAGGTAGGACTAAGGCCTTCAAATGAAGATGAGGAGCTGGGGCCTGTAGGCAGATGGGAGCCATATTCTCTTTGGGACAAGGCTTGAGCCCACACCCCATCACTTCCTTTATCTTAGAGAAGACCTCCAGGGTGGAGGCCGCAGAAAGCCCTTCCTAGCTGGGCCTGATGACCTCCCTTCTGAGACACAAGTCTCAGCCTCTAAGCCCTTAGGGGGACTCAGAGGTCATCTAAGTCTCACTTCCCATCTAGTTCAGAAATCCCCAACCAGGATTCACTTCCAGTGGCCAGAAACTCACTACTCTGCCAGGCAGCTGATTCTGTGGTTGGGATGTGTCTGAATGCCCTTCACAAGCTGGCTCCCACCCATCTTTCCAAACTTCTTTCCTATCACTTTCCCCTCACATGCTCCACTTTCCAGCCAAGCTGGAGAATCCATCTCCCACCTCCAAGTCTTTGCATAGGCTGTCCCCTATGCCAGGTATGACAGCACAGCCCCTTCAAGGTTCAGCTCAAGAGTCTACAGGAGGCCTCTCCTGATTCCTCCAGCTGTTTGTGTCCCCCCCTGCCCCTGCATATTACCTTGCCCCCAAAGCCCATGGCACTATCAAACGTTTCATCATCAGAAACATTTTATCAGAAGAAATGAAAATAAAGAGGCAAAATTAACTTACTTATTCAATGCCACACCAAGCACACTACCAAAGGATTTGTTTTATAGAACTAGAAAAAATAATAACAAAATTCATATGGAGGAAAAGGTCAAGAATCTCAAAAGAAATAAGGAAAAGAAAAGGGAACGAAGGGGGCTGGGCAATGCCAGATCTCAAACTATCCCACAAAGCAGTCAGGACTAAGCCAACCTGATACTGGCTGAAGAAAGGTATTGATCAAGGCAGCAGATGAGGTAGAGGACAGAGGGCCCCAGCCACAGGGCAGGAGGTAGAGGTCATCGTTTGACAAAGCTTACGGTAGCAAAAGGGAGGAGAAGGGCCACTGCCCTGAGGCTTAGCCAAGTGCCAAGCACACTGTGAGCATTTAGTCAGTGTCTATTGATTGCTAAGGCCTTGGGGCACTTTCATCTGCCCTCATCCGTCCTGTTGTCCCTATTAGACCAGGAGCTCCTTGATGGCAGGACTGCCTGGCTTTACTTTTTCCTACTGTTTGCATTCCCAGGAAGCACTTTGTGCTTCGCACACAGTAGGTACGCAATCAACGTGTTATTCATTCGTTCAATTCCTCTGTACAGATGTAGTTTTCACTTGCTTCTCTGGCTGATTCTCCCCAGTAGACTGTGAGAGGTGATCTCTCAGAAGTGAAGCCTCATCAGGGATCAATAGTTCTTGTTCATATTTCTTGATTCTCGCTTTCAAAACCTTCCCGCGCTCAGACAGAATAGCCCTGCCCGCAACCTGAACTGCTTGCCCTTTGAAAAGCTTCCTGCCTTTTCTTGTCTCTGGGATGAGGGGGAAAGGGGTCAGGGAGGGGAAATGGCAGTAAATTTCGGTTTCCTAGGAATTACCGAACTGATGGGAATTCGGCCCTAAACCCCCTCCTGATCACCGCACCACGGCGATGCCAGCATTAGGTTCACTGAATAAGGACACGGATGTTTGGATTGGCTATGCCCGGCTTCCTTGTTCTCTGTCTTTGAATTTTCGCACCTAAGAATGTGAACCCGCCTCCCAGCCAATGGGAATAAGGGATAGTGGCGGGTGGAGGCTTGTTTGCGTTAGGGTATATAATCTCATTTCCCTTTCTGTGCCTTGCCTCTCTCCTCCTGGAAGTGTACGCGGGGAACAGGTGCACCTTCTCGCCAGATCGTAACAGAAAGCAACCTTTGCTTCCACCTTGAGAAGTCTCTGAGTTTAACTGATTGAGAGTCGCTGTCCCACATAACTGCAAGTGTCTTGAGGGCAGGGACTATTTCATTTTTGTCTCCAGTGCCCTGTGCCTTGTGCAGTGCCCAGCTCATAGCAGGCATCTCATAAGTTTGTGCCGACTTGAACTGGGAGGCTGTGTGTAGTGAGAGGACAGCAGGAGCTGAATCGGGGAGGCCTGGGTCTGAGTCTGGCCTCGGTAGGCTAGTGAACTCTGTGACTCTGCACCCCTCAGCCTCATTTCCCACACCTCCTGCACTAGGCTTCTTCCCCTGTCTCTCCCAGGACAATCTCCAGACCCCCTGCTAGCCCACTTCCCCGAGCCCCAGCTTCTCAGGGTCACAGCCCTCCTCTGGTGGCTTTCCAGAGTCACCGGGCTGAGTCTGATTTCCTCCTGGGCCAGGTGAAGTCCAGGGCAGAGGACGATGGGGCCTTGGGGCCAGCCACTGGCTTTTCTAAAAAGCATTGTCCAAGACTGAGGCTACAGTAGGGAGTGGATGCATGCCCCCAGAGAAGGCATCGTCCACTTGGGTTAGGCAGTGGAGAACTCAGGGCCCCGGGAGTGTCCTGGAAGGAAGGACACCCATGAGCACAACATAAAGGCCCATGCATCATGCGGATGGTACAGGCGTGACCTTCCAGGGAAAAGACAACCAGTCAATCACTGCCCTGGCTGGCGTCAAGGAAAGGTGCCTGAGTGATATCTCCTAACTAGGTAAATAATCCAAAAAAGGCATTGGGAGCCCTGAACACTGTCTCCAGGGTAGTGTCCTTCTCCTGGGCCCCTCCCCATCCACTGAGGGACACACCCTGTTCTCCAGAAGCCAAGATTTCCCAGGGGGGACAGCGCAAAGCATATTTACCTCATTTTATGACTGAAGGATGAAGAAGGCCCTCACCCGACTGACCTTTGGTTCACTGGCCTGGCTAGGCTTCCCAAGTTCCTTTCCCATAAAAGAAATTGGCAAAGAAGCCTCGTTGGTAACTTTTAAGAATTTCAGTATAATTCCAAACACAGCCCAAGCTCCACAGGGAGCCGGGTCAAGGTCACAACTATTTTCAGGGACAAAGCTAATCTGTGAAGGAATCGCCCAGCCCCAGTTGCCATTGCCCCTCCGGCCCTTGCGCATCCAAGCTGGCCTTCCATCATCAGCTGCCCAGAAGGAGGCATGCCTATAGGTCTGACTCCAGGAGAAAAGTGAGTGCCCAGTTGAGCTCCCTATGCCCCTCTGGCCACAAAAGTCTCCCATTCTCCTTAGGCCAAACTGTCTGCCTCCTGAGAGGGCCAGGCCCTCCCATCCCTGATGAAGCCATCCCTATGGCAGACTCCTCATGCTCCTGCATCTCCCCTGAGCCCTCCACCCAAGCTGCCAGGACACAGGCTCTGCCACTTTCCTCCCCCTTAGGGAAGACGGATATTTCCCTGAGTCACAAAGATGCCCAGGACTCCTGAGGACAAGCAGCCACTCTGAGCAGTCTTCCATTCCCAACACGCAGCTGTGCTGAAAGGAAGCCCGTGGCCTCCCACCTCAGAGAACATCAATGGCCCCGGACAGATGTCTACTGCCAGGCCCAGCTGGCCGGTCCCAACCGTCAGAGCCAGATGGCAGCCCCACATTTATCCATGTTAATGAGAAAGAGGCCAGGGCCAAGGCCATCTCTCAGACAGAGGGAGCTAATCGAAGTGGTTCTCAAGATGAGGCCATGAAGGGTTTCTCCTCTCCATCAGGCGGCCATGACGAGGTGCACACAGCAGCACCTCTCTGCTGGCTCTGCTCTAGGCCGGGCCTCTTCCCAGGCCAACGCTGGGCTCCCCTTGCTCTGCGACTTCTTGTAGGAATGGGCTTGGTGGCCCTCAGTTTCACCCCCCTCCAGTGCACAGCACGGGGCCTGGCACGTGGGAGCCCCCGAATAAATGCGTGTAAACATCAATCAATAGGCATTTTTGAAGGCCCACCATGAGCCACACATTGTGCCAGGCCCTGGGGGGGGGACAAAGACAAATCCAAAGCTCTCCCTGCCCCCCCCGGAATGTGACAGGGCAGAGATGACATCTGTGACAAGACACCTACAGAGGACTCTGGAGGTAATCTGAGGGGGAGACACTAGCAGATGGGGGGGCCAGGAAAGGCCTCCTGCAGAGTAAGAGACTGGAACTGGGCCCTGGAGGAAGGCAGGGATCCTGAGAGGCAGAGGGGAGGAGGGGGACAGGAGAAGCCCCAACGTCTACCCTCAGGGCAGTGAGAGAAAGGCAAACCACAGACAGAGGGAGAAAGCCCAGGGTGCAAGGAAATCAGTGGTATCAGGAAAGGGGGAAAACATGGAAGGAAGGAAGGAAGAGAAAAGGGAGAGGGAGGAAAAGAACAGGAGGGAAGAGGAGGAAGAGGGGAGGGGAAAGGAGGACGAAGGAGAAGGGGAGAGGAAGAGGGAAGGAGGAGGGAGTGGAGAGAAAGGAGGAGGAGGGGGAGAGGAGGGAGGAGGAGGGAGAAGAGGGGCAGGGAGGGGATAGGAGGGCTGGGATGGCAAGGAGGGAGGACAGGAGGGGAAAAGTAGCAGCCTTCATGGCATCTCCAGGAAGGGCATGAGGGGCCAGCCCTCTGCAGTGGAGGGAGGTGGCTGGGCAGTTTCTCCCCTGAAGCCTCCCTGTCCCTCCCTCCCACGGCCAGCAGGGCTCACAGCCCAGGGGCCAGGAGGGGGGGCTCTGGCATCCAGCTCCCTGTGGGTCAGTCAGTCCGTCCGTCTGTCTGTACTCCCCCCCATCAGGGCCCCAGGCTCCTCATCCACAGTACAGGAGAGCTGTGCCACCTTGCCAAGGTCCCTTTAAGCGCTAAGATTTTGTGTTTTCTTTACTCTTCGTGGGGAGCCCACATGCTCCCTGTGTTTAAGGTTTTAGAGACTGACACTCTTGCAAGGTCCCTGGCACAGAGGAGGCCATTGAATTCTCAACTGAACGAGGGCTCCTATTTCACTGGGGAGGGACGGCCCCCTCCTTGAGGTAATTCACCTCACTTTGGTCCACCCAGCACCAACCAATTGGCTCCTGCTTGCCCCGGGCACTGGGGCACTTCCCAGGCAGGCCTCTGGCTCACACACCCACCTAAGTCCCTGTGGCAGGGCCTGGCACATCCCCAGCACTGGAGGGAACAGTAGCTCGCTCCAGGCAGTCAGGGTAGGGTGGTCAGTCAATAAACATTTATTAAGTGCCTACTGTGTGCCAGCCACTGTGCTAAGCACCAGGGATACAAAGAGAGGCAAAAGACAGTCCCTGCCCTCAGGGAGCTCACAATCTAGAGGGGAGATTAAGAGAAGAATGTGGTCCCCGAGCTAGGGATGAGGAGAGCAGGAGGACAGACCCTGGTACCACAGGAATTTCAGGTTCCTGCTCATCAGAGAATTATGACTGAAAACTCAAGTAAAATACAAAAGGAGGAAATCGGAGACGTCTGACAACGTGCAGTAAATGAGACAAGCAGAACCGATGCGGTCCCCCCCACCCCAGGGCGCCGTCCAGGCACCAGAGACCCCTCCCAGCACAGAGCGCTCCCCCTTACCGACGCCGATGAGCTGAATGAGAGAGACGGTGAAGTTCTCATCCGACTTCTGCACAAGGGTCTTTATGGTTAACCCGATGATGCTCAGGAGAGACACCAGCGTGATGCAGAAGTAGACCTTGACTGGACAGGACAATTCCGACCATGGCTTTATCTGGAAAGAGAGATGGCATTTACCAGCATGTAGGCCTGCCTCTCACTTATACCAGCTGGCTGACCCCAGGCAGTCACGTTCTGGCTCTGGGCCTCAGTTTCTCCACCTTTCCAGCCCTAGAGCTAGGATTCTGTGTCAGTGACCTCAGACACTCACTAGTTATGTGAGCTTCCCTTAAGGAGCTCCTGTTATGGGGGGAGAGGGGAAATGCACACCTACACGGAGCAAAGATATACAAAGTATGGAGAAGTGTGTGGAGGGAACAGCACCAGAAGCTAGGGGGAATCAGGAAAGGGTTTGTGTGCCAAGCGGCCTTTGAAGGGACAGGGAGTGTGTTGTAGGCAAGCCAGACAGCCTGGACAAGCTCACTGAGATGGGAGGTGAAGGTCACGTCAGGGGAGCAGAAAAAAGCCCATGAGTGCAGGGAGGGAAGGCATGGCTAATGAGGTTAGAAAGGTGGGCAGAAGCCGGGGGCTGCGGATTAGAAGCATGAAGACATAGGAGACTTCTGGAGTTTTATTGAGTGACATGGTCAGACCTTCCCTCTGGGAAATCACCCAAGCCAGAGGTCCTTCCCCTGGGGCCCAGGAACTGGTTTTAAAAATAGTTCAGTAATGGTAGTTTGATCTAATTGGTTTTCTTTGTAATCCTCTACATTTTATTTTATGGATTTAACAACATTATTCTGAGAAGGGTCCCCAGCTTTCACCAAATACTCCAAGAAGGGTCCAGGACAAAAAAAATGGCTCTTACAACAAATTACTCTTCACACAAATAAAGACAGATCCAAATAGCTAAAGGAATATTAATTGCTAGTAAGCAGGCTGAGCCAATATTACAAAAAGAACAATTCTGCCCAAATTAATTTACTTATTTAATGCGATGCCAATCAAGCTACCCAAAATTACTTTACACAGGGCTAGGAAAAATATTAACAATTATCTGAGGGAAGAGGAGATTAAGAATATCATAGGAAATAATGGGAAAAGGCAGAAAGGAAGCAGGCCTAGGGGGACAAGTCTCGGACTGTACTGTGAATCAGCAATCTTCAGAACAATCTGGTCCTGAGTAAGAGCAGAGAGGTCAATCAGGAGGACAAATCTGGCACAAAATATACGGAAGCAAACAAACACAAGAAACCTAGTGTCTGATAAACACAAAGAGCCCAGCTATTGGGCAACCCTTATTTGACTAAAACCACCTGCTGGAGCCAAGTGGGAAGCAATCTGGCAGAAAGTCGGGTGTAGACCACCATCTCATACCGCCTACCAAGATCAGGGGTGATGTCACCACCAATCAGAGGAGCAAGGAAGCAATCCCCTGTCAGATCTAAGGAGGGGGGAGAGTTCCCCGCCAAGCAAGGGATATGGAGGGATCTAGAAGGTAAAGCTGACGATTCTGATGACACAGAATTAAAAAAACCAACGAGTTTTTGTTCAAACAAAACCAAAGAAGCTAAAATTAGAAGTGAAGCAGGTAAATAGGGAAAATCTTTGCAGCAAGTTTCTCTGAGAAAGATCTCTTTTCTAAGACATATAGGGAACTGACTCAAATTTATAAGAATAAGAGCAATTATATCCAATTGATAAATGGTCAAAGAATAAGAATGGGCAGTTTTCTGAGGAAGAAATCAAAGCTCTCAAAATTCATATGGAGAAATGCTGTGAATCACTCATCATTAGAGAAATGTTCGTTTTCCTACCCCGTTACTTTCCTGGACTTTGTGACCTCCCACAAACTCATCCTTCCTCAAGACAAACTGACTCTGAATCTAACACTTCCTTTTCTCTAGAGAGGGCAGAGGGTGGGCATTTGGGAGCTGCTCCCAGATCCTCAGTCTGAGGAGGGCTCTCAGAGAATCCACCTCATCATTCCTCAAGATGAAATCAACTCTGAAACTCTCCCTTCCTCGGATCATTTCCCATCTGAGCTGTAGGACTTTATCATGCCCCACTTTTGTATTCTCCCATTAGACTGTGAGCTCGGTGAGGGCAAGGACTGTCTTATGCCTTTCTTTGTATTCCCAACTCTTAGCCTCGTCTCTGGCACCCAGAAGGCCCTCAATAAATGTTTAATGACTGATATGTTAATTAAAACAACTCTGGGGGCCCACCTCATCCCAACTAGATTGACTAAGGTGACAGAAAAGGAAAATGACGGACGTTGGAGGAGCTGTGGGAAAACTGGCACACTAATGCATTGTTGGTGGAGTTGTGAACCATTCTGAAGATTTGAAACTATGTCCAAAAAGCTATTAAACTGTGCATACCCTTTGAGAATCTACCAGAGTTGCAAAGAAATCAAAGAAAGAGGAGCAGCACCCATATACTCTTGTTCTCTAAGAAATAATGAGAGGGATAGTTCCAGAAAAACCTGGGAAGATCCAGATGAACTAATGCAGAGCGAAGTGAGCTGAACCAGAAGAACAATTTCCACAACAACATCATTGTAAAGACAAATGATCTGGAAAGACCTAGAAACTCTGATCAACACATGGACCCAAGACGCCAGAGGGCCCACAAGGAAACAGGATGCCCAGCCTCCCAGCGGGGGTGGGGTGTGTGTGTGATGACTCCAGGTTACCCAATGAGACACGGTGGGCTTTCTCTGGACGTGACTGCTGTGGGAAGCTGTTTTACTTGACTATCTATATGTGTTCGTGAAAGGGGTTTTACTTTTCTTTCTTTTCCAGTTGGGGAAAAAGGGAGGTGGGAGACAGCAAAGGCAGATTTTGGTTAATTGAAAAAATAAAATTTAATTAAAAAAAAAAAGCAGCATTGAAGAAGGGAATTTCTACACTGGGAAGTTATATATACATATACATATATATGTATTATATACACATACATAGGAGTATATACACACACACACACACACACACACACACACACATTATGGAGACAAAGAAGGGCAAAATGTGACCTGAGTACTAAAGGGAGACCAGACTGAAACAAGAGTCTGGAATAAGCTCCTAAGGCAACAGTACTATTCATTCAATGTACTTCAACAAACATTTATTCTGCAGCACACATGCTAGGCAAAAGACAGCAGGAAATACTGTACAGAGAGCAGGCCTTGGAGTCAGGAAGACCTGGTTCAAGTCTTGCCTCTGAACCATCCAGCACACAGGGCACTCTGGGTCCCAGGCAGAACAGGGGCTGCTTACATGTGTAAAGGGACTTCCCTCACTAGGAGATCCCTACGTTGATGAAATCACAGGCCTGGTCTAAAATCGCACGCCAAAATGTGCCTGGTGCTGGGGATACAAAAACAAACAAAAAGAAATGGTGCCTGCCCTCAGGGAGCTTCCAGTCTGCAGACAGAGACATACACAGAGATGGAGTGAATCCAAAGCGGTCCCGGTGAGAGAGAGCGTTCCCAGAGCCCACCACACTGAAGGGACCCGTCGTGTCTGGGGAGAGAAGAGAAGGCCGGCCAGCCCCAGAGGGCAGACCTAAGAAAAGCGTGGGGTGGGGTGCCCGGATGGAAGGACAGGTCCCCCAGCCGCCGGCGGCTCTCCTTCCTCCTTGGAGGCCTTCCATCAGAGGCCTGCATGAGCACTTGGTGGACCAGACAGCGTCCTTGGCGGTGGACCCTTCCCCTCCGAAGACCACACAGCTGGCCAGACGCGTCGGATGACCCGCGATTTCCTGGGCCCCTGAGCCTCCGGCAAAGCGATGTCTGCAGAAGCACCGGACTGGGGGGTGCAGACGCCTGGGGGCGCACCTTCCATTCCTCCCTTTGTCAAAGGGTACCTGCATCCCAGCCGGAGCCAACCGCGGTCAGGCCACCACGAGCTCCTGTCCAGCAGGCTCCGTCAGGTTGAGCTGGCGCGCCCCCTGGCGGCAGCAGGGAGCATGGCAGGCCAGCAAGGCAGGGTCCTTCCTTAGGTCCCACGGCAAAAGGGGGTTTCACAGACCAGGGGACGGGGACAAAAGAAAATGAGAAATGCCCTATAAAAAAGCATGCTGGGGAGAAAGCTGAGGACACACCGAAATGCCACGCAGACCCTTCAAATCCTGCCTCAGGCAGTGGTCACTCAGGGGTGACCGTCCCCGAGCCTCTGTCTCCTCTACTGTAAAATGACGGCCACTCCCAGACCAAAGTCCAGCCTTACAAATGTGCCCCACGGCAGCTGTACAAAAGGCGGGAGGTCAAGCTGTCCGAGCCCCCCCCCCCAGGACGAGATGGACCAGAGCACGATGCTCCGGTTTCCAGTCCAGCCTGAGTGCAGCTCAGAGAGACAGTGTGGGCTAACAAGTGAACAGGTAAGAGGACCCACTGTGGACACATGCTGGCTGTGGGACCCTGGCCAAGTCACTCTCCGAGACCCAGAGATAGAGACAAAGTGCCTGCCCGGAGCTCCCCACACCAGGAGGGAATCATCCAGCTTCAGGGCTGGAAGGACCCAAGGGGCCACGCAGGCCAACCCCTCATTACAGGGGAGGAAAGGGACGTCACCTGGAGGAGCATCAAAGGCAGGTCCCCAAGTCCCAAGCAACCCTCCAGGGCTGGAAGTGAAAGACCCAGTGACAGTTCCCTGGCCCCAGAAATCCCTGGGTGTTTTACAACCAGGCCAGGGGAAGGAGGAAGTAAGGAAACGTGAGAAGCATCTCAAAAATCAGTCTGAGGCTGGAGAGGCCCACAGCAGCGCCCACACACTCGCCCCACGAAGGACTCTGGGAGAATGACGCCCAGAACTCTGACAGTTTTCATATCGATCCGTCTCTCCCCCCATTTCAGCAGATGCACCCCCACCCCCAAGCTTGGGACATGGGCCTCGCCTTCTTCCCCACCACTGTCCAATCCACCTGCCAGGAGCCCTCTGATGCCATCCCCTCCTCCGCTCGCCTGCCTGTCTCCTCCCCGCCCTGGTCCCCTCTCTCTCCTCCTCTTCACCCCCCCCTTTCTCTCCTGGGCTCTGGGAATGACCTACCACCTGGTGTTCCCAGGCCTCCAGCCTCTGCCCCACTGCAGCTGAGACAGCCTTCCTAAGGCACGGCTCTGACCCCGTCTGTCCATGCTGCCTGCGCGCTGACAGGCCTGCAGACCCTGGGCGCCCGGTTCCAGCTGTGCTCCCCACGACGTCCCCTTCTGGCCTAAGCAAACTTCCCAGGGGTCTTCGTGGACCCATATGCAGTCTTCCTTCCTCACCCACCCAATGGAATCCTCATGCTCCGAGGCCCTTCCAACGTTTCTGCTGCGTGGGGTCTTGCATTCCCCTTGGCTCCCAAACCAGAGTCCAAATAGGGAAAGGGGGACAGATGCCAGGAATGCTGAGGAGGAGCTGACACGCCTGGACATGGGGCAGAAGCGACTTGGGCAGAAGGCTGTCATGGGTTTAAGTCCCGCCTCTGAGCCCCATTGAGTCTCCTAACCCCTCGGGCATCTAGACAACTCTGGAAGCCCAGAAGTGGCAGAGGAGGTGCCTGCCTGCCTTTGGGAGAGGCAGGCTCCTCACCTGGAAGTTCCCTCTAAAAATAAAATCACTGTTCCTCCTAGAAGGACAGACAAAGCGAGTGGGGAAGGGATGGAAGGAGGGAATAAGCATTTATTGAACACCCACTGTGTGCCAGGCACCTGACAAATGTGCTATTATTTTACAGATGAGGAAATCGAGGCAGACGGAGGTTAGGTGACTTGCCCAGGGTCACACAGTCAGGAAGTGTCTCAGGCTGGATTTGAACTCAGGTGTTCCTGACTCCTGGCCCAGTGCCATCTTGACGCCTGCAAAGAATTTTAATAGAAGAGTCCTGGGCAGGGAGTGGGGGAGCTGGATCCTGGCGTACTTCCTAACGAACCCTGGCAAACGTATGGGACAGATTCCAGAGCATGAGACAATAAGTGAGTTTCATAACGCAACGCGAGCTAGTGAAGAGGCCCCGGCGCGGCCGCGACTCCCTGCACAGCGGCAGCAGCCCAGGGCTCACCTCTCCCCGAGACCCCAGCGCGGCCCGCTGCTGACCAGCCGGGACACCGTGCAGCACCAGCGTGGCACCGGCGGGTTCAGGGGCGGCCCGAGGACCCCCCCACACACACACACTCAGCGGCAGCAGCCTAGGGCTCACCTCTCCCCGAGGCCAGACTGTGCCCAGGCTACTTACAGGGCCACAGGGAGTTGGGATGAGCTCCTGGTGCCTTGGGGTTAGGTTGGGCAGCGGGGCATCCCCGGGCTCCGAGAGAGCAGGAAAGATGGGTTCTCTGAAACAGAAACAGAACAAAACCTCCATCAGGAGTGTCGTGTCACAGTGGCATGCAGTTACAAGAGAGGCAGGCAGGCCTGGGCGAAAGTTCTGGGTTGGGAGGCCGAGGCCTGGGTTCAAATCCTGGCTCTTCCGTGTTCTAGCTGTGTGATCCCGGCAGGTCGCTCACCACCTCGGTGTGCCTCAGCCCTCTCTAGGACCACGAAGGGAAAGAAGGCTGGGCTCTGTGGACAGAGCATCACCCCACAAACACACAGGCACCCCACCTCCTCTTGTTCAGTCTTCGCTGGTATCCAGCCCTTTGGGCCCCCATTCGGGGCTTTCTTGGCAAAGATACCAGGGAGGTTTGCCATTTCCTTCTCCAGCCAATTTTCAAGAGGAAGAAACTAAAGCTGACAGGATGAAGCGACTTGCCCCAGGTCATACAGCTAACATCTGGGGTCACATTTGAACTCAAGTCCTCCTGACTCCAGGCCTGGCACTTTCTCCACTGCAGCGCCACCTAGCCGCCGTGTACATTTCCACCCCCCATCCTGGTCCTCCAGCCTTGAACAGTCTCCATCTCATTCTGGCTGTCCTTCCTCCTCTCTGCCTGCAGACTTTCCTGGGTCCCTTTAAGTCCCCCTAAAATCCTACCTTCCACAGGAAGACGTCCCCACCCCTCTTCATCCCACCACCCTCGTTCCATTAATTCTTTCCTATCTATCCTCTGTACAGCTGCTTGTACATATCTGTTTGCCTGTTGCAATAGGGGACCATTAGGCTGGAAGCTCCCCGAGGGCAGGGACTACCTTTTGCCTCTTTTTGTATCCCCAGCACTTAGCACAGTGCCTGGCACATAGTAGGCATTTAATAAATGTTTACTGATTGATATTGTTGATTATTAAGGAAACTGGAGGTTATGGACCCTTCCTCAGTCCTCCCCCTCAGCCCCCCACCCCCACCCCACGAGGAGCCAGGGATCACTGGGTGGTAGCAGACAATTCTGACACAGGATAAACAGACAAAACTATAGCCGTCTGAAGAAATAAAACGAATGTCAACAGTTTGGATTCCTGTAGAGTTACATGTGTGGTCTGAAGTTCGAGGCCTTGGGGGTTTGGAATGTTCATGCTGAAACAGTATTTTCTGAGCAGGAAGAGAGCACGCATGTTTGCATCTTCCTTGTATAAATCCCCATAAATCTGGAGCCCCGTCCTTGGCTCCCCCCAGATAAGCCCGCCCAACTCCAGGGCCAACAGGGCAGTTTCCAAGGACGGTTTTGTCCAGGCTCCGCACAAGGGGCACAGCCTCCCACATGCATGAGTCATTATGGGAAACCTGGCCCCAGAAAAATCCCAGTGGCAAAGTCCAAAACAGGAAACTACTGACGCCTTGGGTGGCTAAATATTGCCTGGGCACCCACAAAGTGAAGTCTGGGGCAAAGGTACACACAGACAGAATGAGAAAAAACATCTGGGTTCCCTGGAAAGAAAGTGGGGGTCAGAGGCCCGAGCTCCTTCTGGAGCTCTGCCGGTCATCCATCCTTGGATGAGTTGGCTCACTTCCAGCCTTGAAACTCCTGCTTCTTCAACATACTTCCAGGAGAAAATGTAAGCCCCTGGAGGGCAGGGGGTGATTCCCATTTCTCTTTGGACCCCCAGGGCTTAGGAGGCCCAGCGCTGGCACAGAGGAGGTGTTTAACAAATGTGTATTATATCGTACTGGTTATGAGGTGTCAGTCTGCCCACGAGTGTAACAGGGACAACCCCACGATACTTTGAGATTCCCCAAGATGAGGCGCCCATCAATGGACAAGCATTATTAAGCACCAGCTATGACAGCCAATAAACTTTTATTAAGCACCTACTGTACGCCAGACACCAGACGCTATGGACATGCTAAAGACTGGCAAAAGACAGTCCCTGCCCTCAAGGAGCTTACAGTCTAAGGCAGGGAGACAGCAAATCTTCTACTAAGAAGCTACAGCTGGAACATATTGGAGAGAATTGAGGGGAGGCCCCAGAATTAAGGGGAACTGGGAAAGGTAGGACCTTAGCTAGGGCCTGAAGAAAACCAGGGGCTGGGAAGAGTGCCTGTCCTCAGGGGGCTTAAGTTCAATTGTGCCAAAATGACTCCAGCTCAAACAAGTGCCGGGTGCCAGGGGGGGGGGCCTTCCACTTGGGTCTCACCCCTCTCTCTGTCCCCTGCCTCCTGCAGAGATAAAAACATTCCAGACCCAAAAGGAAGGAAAGAAACAAGCATTTATTAAGTACCTACTGAATGCCTGGCACTGGGCTTAGCAGGGAGGTGGGTGCTTTTGTTAATCTCACTTTACTGTGGGGGAAACTGACGCCCCTGGGGTTGACTGATTTGCCCTGGGTCACACAGCTGGAAAGGGTCATCACAAACTGCATTTGAATTCAGGACTTCCTGATTCAGGGACCTGTGCACTGTGGGTGCCCCCTAGCGGCCAACATGTGCGTGGCCCATAACGAAGGTCCAGTGCGGTCCGTCCCGTCGTGTCCCGTCCCCCCTCCCCCCCCACCGCCGCCAGCCCCACCAGAGGATTTTGATGTGCTTTTCTAGAAGCTACCAATAGGCAGAGGGGACGGGGCTTCTCTCCGCCCTGATTGGATGAACGGTGAAAACGTCCCCCCTCCAGGGTGAGGATGGGACCGTCTGGAGGCCTCCAAGAGGAGGCGCGGCGGAGGGGAAGATGATGCTTCTCATGGGATGAGCAGTGGTTAATGTCCCCTCCAGGGTCAGAATGAGACCATCCGGAAGCCACCAATAGGAGGGGTGGTGGAGGGGGGAAACTCTGCTTCTTTCCTCCCCCCCTCGTGGAATGAACGGTGGTAACCCCCTCTCCAGAGCTTCCCCCCCCGTCAGGATGGGACCGTCCGGAGGCCACCAATAGGCGGCGAGGCTGGCAAGAGCTGCTGTTGCTTAGCAGCGCCGCAGCCGCCCCCGCCCCCCGCGCGCCGACCAACAGACTGACTGGCGGCCCGACAGACTGACTAACCTACCTGCTCCCCTCGGACTCCATGCTGAGCGCCGCTGCAAAGCCGCTGCTCCGCGTCTTCCTCTTCCTTCTCCTCTTGCCCTGCAGGAAAGGCGGGCGGAGACTTCTGAGGTTTTGTGGCTACATCGTGGAGGCGCGGCGGGGGGGGGTGGGGGGGCCAGGCCGGGAAAGGAGCGAGGAGGCTGTTCAGTTCCGCCCCGGGCTTCCGGCGCGTCACTTCCGGCGCCGCCTCCTTTTTTCTCCCTGCCATGCGCCGCCTGCGCTACCCGGCTGCCCTCCCCCTCCGCCAGCGGCCCCTACGTGTCAGGACTCTTGCACCAGGGCATCATTCTGGGTCTTCTGTGGGTATTGGGGAGCAGGTGTGTCAAAGAAAAACCAGCCTTAGGGGCGCCCTCCCCACCCTGGGAGGGACCCACCAAGACTCTGGTTTTCATTTGAGTGTATCGGGGCCAGGTCAGGACCCTGCGTTCGGTGCGGGGAATCAAGGACTGTCTAATGGTTCAAATCCTCAGGTCTTCTTACACGTTCTACCTTGTTTTGTTTTTTTGTTTTTTGGGTGAGGCAGTTGGGGTTAAGTGACTTGCCCAGGGTCACACAGCTAGTGAGTGTTATGTGTCTGAGGCCAGATTTGAACTCAGGTCCTCTTGACTCCAGGGCAGGTGCTCTAACCACTGCACCACCTAGCTGCCCCTGCAAGTTCTACTTTGTGCCAGCCAGGTTCTGGCCTTCAGAGAGCATGCCTTCTGTGGAAGAAAGAGAATATTCACAGATACAAATGTATGTGTGTGGGTGTGTATTTACACACGTATATATACAGGAACATATATTTGCACAGATATATATGTGTGTGTGTGTTACACACAGGGCAGCTAGGTGACCCAGCCATAGAGCACTGGGTTTGGAATCAGACTCATCTTCACGAGTTCAAATCTGGCCTCCCACAGTTACTGGCTGTGTGACCCTAGGCAAGTCACTTAACCTTGTTTGCCTTCCTTTCCTCATGTGTGAAATGATCTGGAGAAGGAAATGGCGAAGCACTTGGGCATCTCTGCCAAGAAAACCCTAAATAGGGTCACAGAGAGTTGGGTGGGACTGAAACACATGCCAAGAACAACTAAAATCACACAAAGAAGTAGATGGGTAGCCTAATGCAGAGTGCTGAGCCTGGAGTCAGGAAGTCATGAGTTCAAGTCCAGCCTCAGACACTGGCTGTGTGACCCTAGACAGGTCATTTTACCTCTGCTTGCCTTAGTTTCCTCATCCGTAAAATCAGAATAGCACCTCCCTCCCAGGGTGGTTGTGAGGCTCAAATAAGATAATATTTGTAAAGCACTTAGCACAGTGCCCAGCACAAAGCCGGCAAAGTATAAATGTTAGCTATTATTAGCATAATTTCAAGGAATGTGTGGGGAGAACATTAAGAAGGGGGGGGGAGGTTTCCAGAAATATCCAGATACGAGTTAGCACTTGAAAGAAGTTATGACCCAGCAAAACTGAGTGGAATCCTTCAGGGGAAAAGATGGTCATTCAGTGAAACAGGGGACTTTCAAGCATTCTTGATGAAAAGACCAGAGCTGACTAGAAAATTTGACTTTCAAATACAAGACTCAAGTGAAACATGAAGAGGTAAACAGGAAAGAAATCATAAGAGACTTATTAAGGTTGAACTGTTTACATTCCTGCATGGAAAGATGATATTTGTAACTCATGAGACCTTTGTCAGTATTGGCGTAGTTGGAGGAAAAAAATTTCATGTATAGATAGATAGAGGGCACAAGGTGAGATGTAGGTCTTTTGAAGGGGTGATAGCTGGAGAATAAAATTAAGGGGTGAGAGAAGATTATACTGAGAGAAGGAGAAAGGGAGAGGTAGAATGGGGTAAATTATCTCACATGAAATAGAAGAAAAGGCTTTTACAGTGGAGGGGAAAAGGGGGATGGTAAGAGGGAATAAGTGAATCTTATTCTCATCGGATTTGGCTTAAGGAGGGAATAACATACACATTCAATTGCGCATGGAAACCTCTTACCCTTCAGGAAAATAGAGGGGAAAGGGGATAAGAGAACAGGGGGATGATAGAGGGGAGGACAGATTAGGGGAGAGGGTAATCAGAAGCAAACACTTTTGAGGAGGGACAAGGTCAAAAGAGAGAATAGAATAAATGGGGCGGATAGGATGAAGGGAAGTATACTTAGTTTTTCACAACATGAATGCTGTGGAAGTGTTTTTGCATGACTACACATGTATAGCCTGTATCAAATTACTTGCGTTTTCAATGAGGGTGGGTGGGAAGGGAGGAAGGGAGAAAATTTGGAACCCAAAGTCTTGAAGACAAAAGTTAAAAAAAAATTGTTTTCACATGCAGCTGGGAAATAAGAAATACAGGAAATGGGGTGTAGAAATCTGTCCTACTCAACAGGAAAATAAAAGGGGAAGGGGATCAGAGAAGGGGGGCAGAGATAGAAGGGAGGGCAGATTAGGGGAAGGTATACAGAATGCATGCCATTTTGGGGTGGGGGAGGGATGAGATGGGGAGGAAATTTGGAAATTGTGGAAGTGAATGTTGAAAACTAAAAAAATAAATTAAAAAAAATGTGAAAGCTAAAAAAAAAGTTATGAATTCTAAGAGGAAGAAGAATACATTTCGGGCATGGGACACATCCTTGTATGAAGGTATTGAAGCTGGAGATATAATGTCATGTATAGGAAGCAGCGAGCCGACCAGTCAGTCAAGAACATAAAATGTGTGAAGATGTGAGATCAGCCTAGAAAGACTGGTTGGCACTGGTTTGTGAAGGGCTTTAAATGTCAGAGGAATTGTATTTTATTCTAGAGGCAGTAGGGAACCACTGAACCACTGAGTCTAAAATGATTTGGTCACGTAGAAATGTGCTTTAGAAATACCAATCTGCTTGCTATGTACAGAGGGATAGCAGAAGGCAAGACTGGAGGCAGGGAACAGTTAGGGAAAAATCATAAAGCCCTCTTGTCTTGGGCTACTACAGATTTTTGTCACATATGGGGGCCTTCATTGCAGTAAAGCAATCCTTTTATATTTCCCTAATGGAGCTGCTGTCCCACTCTCCATCGTGCTTTCTCCAAACCTTTCATCCCTCCTCAAATCTCCTATCTAATACCCCCCCTCCCATCAGATCTTCCATCTGAGATTTTTTGCCTCATTTTCTGGAGGAAAAAAAAAAAGACCATTTGTTAGGGGCTCCCTCTTCTCTCCTCCTCATCCCACACTTCCCATATACCTTCCTCCACTATCTCCTTCCCCACCGGAACTCCATCTCAGCCAGAGAGGTGGTCTTGCTCCTGCCCAAGGCAAATCCACCTACATACACAGGTGATTCTGTTCCATCCCACCTTCTCCAGCAGATTGTTCCATCTTTCATCCCCATTGTCACTAATCTTCAATGTGTCTACTGGCTGGCTCCCTGCTGTCTGCAAATCAGCCCATGGCTCACTCATCCTCAGAAACCCTTACTTGATCATTTCATCCGTAGTAGCTGGCGTCCCATATCTCTCCTCCCTCGAGAAGGCTTCGGCTTCCCTTCCTCTCACTCTCTTCTTGGCTCTCTACATTCTGGCTTCTGACCTCATCATTCAATTGAAATGTCTCTCTCCAGAGTGACCTATGATCTCTTAATTGCCGAATCCAATGGCCTTTTCTCAATCCTGTTCCTTCTTGACCTCTCTTCACCCTCTGACACTGTGGATCACCCTCTTCTTGATACTTTTCTCTCTAGATTTCTGTGACGCTGCTTTCTTCATGTCTTTCTTCCTACTTGTCAGAGCACTCCTCGTTTGCTGGCTCTTCCCACTAACCATGGGTGTCCCTTAAGGTTCTGTCCTGGGGCTTCTTCTTTTCTCCCTCTAGGCTATTTCACTTGATGAGCTGTGGATTCAGTAATCAATTCTTTCCTAATCTCTCTTTCAACCTCCAGTCTGTCATCTCCCTACTGTCTTTTGGACATCTCACAGGCAGCTTTAAACTCAATATGTCCAAAATGGACAGAACTCATCTTTCCTTCAAAACCTTATCTTCCTCCTAACTTCTCTATTATTGTTGAGAGTACTACCACCTTTCCTGTCACCCAGATTCACAACTTGGGTATCACCCCCCATTCCTCACTCTCTGACGCCTGACCCCATGCCTGTTGTGTTTCTGAGGCCTGTCTATTCTACCTTTCCAATACCTTTCATATATGCCCTCTCCTGTCTTCTGACAGGCCGAGTCACCGAGAATTTATTGTGAGCCCATTATGTGCCAGGCATTATGTTAAATGCCTGGAAATACAAAGAAGGGTAAAAATTGTCTTTTCTCTTCGGGGGTTCACAGTTTAATGAAGGAGGCAGCTTGCAAACACCTATGTACAATGAAGATATATACAGAATAAAATGGAGCTGATCTCAAGAGGAAAGGCATTAGCATTAAGGAGGAGTGGGAAAGGCTTTTTTTGTTGTTTGTTTTTGCTTTTTGGTGAGGCAGTTGGGGTTAAGTGACTCGCCCAGGGTCACACAGCTAGTAAGTGTCAAGTGTTTGGTCTAAGGCTGGATTTGAACTCAGGTCCTCCTGATTTCAGGGCCGGTGCTCTACCCACTGTACCACCTAGCTGCCCCAGTCTCATTCTTTATTCCCCTGATCCAGGAACACTGGTATCCTAGCTGTTCCTCACACGAGACTCCACTGCCAGCCTGTGCATTTTCAGCAGATGTTGTCCCTGCCTTGAATGCTCTCCTCATCACCCCTCTGCCTTCCCTAGTTTTCTTCAGGTCTCCCACTCAAGTCGCACTTTGGCCAGAAGCCTTTCACAGTCCACCTTAATGCTAGTACCTGTTGTCTGACGCACTTTGAGCCTGCCTCGTCTCTATATCTGGAATATGCATAGTTGTTTGCCTGTTAGGACTCCCATTAGAAAGTAATCTCCTTGAAGGCAGAGGCTGTGCTTGCTTTTCTTTGTATCCCAGGCCTTTATCCAGTGCCTGGCACATAGTAGGTGCTTAGTAAAGGCTTGTTGACTTTTGACAGACAAATGAGGAAGCTGTCGAAATAACCCAGGCTAGGTAAAGAGGGTGCTGATGTAGGGTGCTGGTCACTTGACTGGAGAGAAGGGTGTGGGTGAATGAATGAAAACCTCTT